AACAACAACAACAACTTTGTGAAGAAAAGATGAGGCAGTCTGCTTCTGCAGAGATTCCAAACCAAAAAACAAACCTACTGCTATCAAGTTGATTGCGACCCACAGAGACCCTCATTGGGTTACCAAGGCAGTAAATCTTCATGAAATAGATTGCTCAGTCTTCCTTCTGTGGAGTGTCTGATGTTTTTAAACCACCAACCTTCTAGTTAGCAGTCAAATGCAAAGATTACAGCCTTGGAAACCCTATGGGGAAATTCTGTTCTTCCTATAGGATCACTATGAGCTGGAACTGAATCAACAGCAGTAGATTTGCTTTTAGTCTCTGGTTTTGCATTAGGAGGAAGTCTCATTTCTAAGTCATCACTTTAAAAACTTCATCTTATGTCTCAAGGTAGGTGTTAAAAAGGTTTTCATGAGTATAACCCTCATATTCACCACACACCACCCCAAATAGTCACTGCCTACATTCTCATTAGTGACTTGCACATCCCTCTTTATTTTTGTTCTTTATGATTTTCCATTACTTTCTTATAAGATCAACTGTACAGTTAAATATATTTGTAAAAATTCATAATTTAATGAGCACTTCTAGATATATGAAGGAGCTCTGGTGGCATAATGGTTAAAGCATTCAATGGTTAGCCAAAAGGTCAGTGGTTCAAATTTACCAGCCACTCATTTGGATAAAGATGAGGCAATCTGCACCGTAAATATTTACAGCCTTGGAAACCCCTATGGGGCAGTTCTAGTCCGTCCTAAAGGGTAATTATAAGTTGGAATCAACTCGATGGAAGTGGGTCTAAATACTTGACAGAATAGTTTTCATATTATCTAGTCAACCATATTGCCAGAAACAGGAAATTTATTTCCATCCTTATGGGTGTTTGTTTGTTTGTTTGTTTTGCATTTTCTAAATATTCAATAATAACCACAAAATTAAAAGTTTATTTTAAAATTAAAATGCCCACTGAATTATGTAATCAGAAAATTATTGAAAAGTTGCCTAACAAAGCAATAATATGGAGAGAATTCTTATTTAATAAAAGAACAAGTGGATGCTTAAAATCAATTGTTTCTAATCTTAGCTTTGTATCAGAATCACTAGATAACTTATCAAATGCATATTTAAGGGCCCGAACACAAAATTCTAATTCATAATATCTGGATTGTCCCCAGAAAACTCTATTTTAAGAAAGCATCTACATGGTTTTGATGCACAGGAGAATTCAAGAACTACTAGTTTAGATGACAGAAAATAATATGAAAAGATGAGTTTATTCCCAAGTCACCTCTATCCAGGCCTAGCCCAAGTATTTTCACAAGTTTCACTCCCCAAAGGGGGATTCAAGAAAACAGCAGTGGCTTAAAATCGGCCATGTGTGCTCTAAACTACACTTGTAGCATGGGTAAGTTTTGATTTCTGCTTCTGAATCATTTATCTGGTCAACTGTATTTTGTTCCCAATTATTCACTTCCCTCTTCCTATAAGAGGATTCATATTTCCTGATCCATTAACATAAGTCTTGGCCATGGGATTTTCTTTGGCCTGTGAAATGCAGGAGGACTAACTTGAGTCACTTTTAAGCTAAAGCTTTAGAAGCCACTGTGTTACTCTACTATTTTCTTTTCCCATGCCACAAAACAGAAAAGGAAGCTGCTCTTTCAACCTCAATCCTAGAATGAATGAGATACGGAATACAGTAAGTACCCCACCTGCAGCTGCCATGTACAGTTGTGAGAAACGAATCTATGCTGTGGTAAGCCACCAAGATTTACAGGCCATTTGTAAATAAATGCAGTATAACTAAGGCTAAGCTGTGTGACCCAGACATCACTGTTCCTGTTATATTACTAAAAATACTTTATGCATGATTTATGGCAGATCCAGGATATTCTTTCGGAAAAGAGTTAAGAAAAATGCAAACAATGTTCCTAGCATAACTCTACACAGTAAAGCAAATAAATGTAAATAAATGATCTAAAGAATCATAATAAAATCCAGTTGTAATCATTCATTCATTTGCTCTGACAAAATTTACTTAGCACTTGATCTCTACCAGACACCAGACAGGCCCTGGTAATACAGAAATAAATGAGATACAGAGGACACACAGAGGAAACAAATTACAAACTCAGAATCTGGAGGGAGAAACATACAAGTGATCAAATAATTCCAACAAATTATGATAAAGGGTGTAACGGAGGCAGGTACAAGCCCCATCATTGCACAGATAGGTCATGAAGGGTTTCACAACAGAAGGAATCTTAACAAGCAGGATCTTAAACAATAGGCAAGTATTTGTTAAATAAAACAGGAGGAGGGGGGTGAATATTCCAAATACAGTAAACAGTCCATAAAAAGGCAAGAGAGCCATGAAAGAATCTGACAGGATAAAGGAATGAGAAGTACAGGTGAGCAGACCAGTGAATTCATTGAGGGAAATAAGGCTGATGAGGATGACTGAAAGCAGACTGCAAAGGCCCACTCAAGGAAGGATTCAGTGTAAGTTTTGAACTATAGAATTAATGTTTATCCTGCAGGCAACAGTAAATCACTCAAGATATTCCATAGATCATGACATGATCAAATTTGTGCCATAGAAAGATAACCTTAACAGAAATGCAGAGGTTGGATTAGAGAGGAAGAGCCCAGCAACCTCACTGTTCTGTGTTTTGAGGTTCGCATGTTTCAACAAAGGTGAATGGCTATATGTTTTATTCAAAAGGTATATGCTAAATTGCCAAGTAAAAACAACAAAAAGCTGACTATATACAAAGGATTTACAAGACTCTGTAAGGAAGAAGTATCAAAAACAACATTACTGGAAAGAATTTAAAGTCACTTCTTTCTTCCTCATAAAACATTCATATTCAATCCATCCTGCTTCTCACATACTTTCCGCTGTCATGAGCAACTTACCCTCTGCGTATAGTAAACTATGCCAAATTTATAATCTGAATAGTAAGTGCAAACTGCTGATGAAAAGATGGAAAATTTTAAACAGCCAATAAACAGACATCTTTCTGACAACCCTTTCAGAAACCCAAAAAAATCTAGGGTTAATTGGAGAATCTTTGTTTTCTATCTTAATTATAGATAGAAATTATAAATTATAGATAGTCTAAGACCATATGTTTTACAGTATTTTGGATTACTAACAAGCACAATTGCGAGGAAGTAGATGCAACTGGATTTGATATTGGAACTCACTACCAAAGCGGTGCCTGAAGTAACAGACTGTACTATCCTGCTTGAGCCCCTCCGAGAGAAAGCAAAACACTATCTTTTAAAAGTAGCGTATTTCACCTAAAGCTAAACTAAGAAGTTGTTTACATGCAAAAGTACACATACTTAACAAAATGTCCTTGTTGTTGTTGTTATGTGCAGTGGAGTCGGATACGACTCATAGCGACCCCTCCTTGGGTTTCCGAGGCAGTATCACTATAGAAGTAGATTGCCCAACCTTCCTTCCGAGGAGTGGCTGGTGGGTTTGAACCGCCAGCCTTCTGGTTAGCAGTGCCTTAGGCACTATGCTACCAGAGCGCCTCAAAATGTTCTTACCACCTGTGAATATAAATATCCATCTGAATCTTTTAGAACTACAGAGCTATAAATTTAGTAGTCTCAAGTGAACATAAGAATTATTACGAATAATTACAAGATCTCCTTATGATAACCTAAAGATTTTTATAAATATTTTTGAAGATCTTCAAGGCTAGAAATCTCCTGTTGGCAGTGGAGTAATGTATAATGGTTAAGGACACAATCTATAGAACGAAGATACCTATGTTTGAATCCTAGTCCTTCTAATTAATGTGTGACTTTGGGTCACTGTAACAATTTTCTTTTCCTGTAATATTAAGATACCAAAACTACCTCGATGGATTCAATGGTCCCAAACATAACAACTATCATGATGATGGGTGCATGAATGGGCAAGATTTCATTCTGTTATACCAAAGATCACCATGAGTCAGAGCTGACTTGAAAGTAACTAACAACAACTTCATAAGATTGTTAAAAGTATTAAATGAGTTAACACTTGCCTCTTTACATTCAGCTTCACAAAACACTTATGAAGTACCTGCCCATAGTGAGAATTCAATACCTAGCAATTGTTAGTCTTCTTAGTATTGCCAGTTTCCAACATACAGCACATAATCAACATGCTTTGGACTAAATCAATCAAAATAAACATAGCTTCAGGAACTTGTCAAAATTTTATAAATAAACCCAAATTTTGTAGGAAAAAAGGTCAGAGACTTTTAAGAAGTTAGTGTTTCTACTTACATCTGGTTTGGAATGCTGAAATATCTTCAATGGAAATTTTAAGTCCCCTTTAGCTAAAGTTACCAAATATTCTTTAAGCAGCTCATTAGCCACACCAGGAGACTGCTTCTCACAACGATGAAGAAAAGGAACCAGCCATTGATAGGCACTTGTCACATATTTATCTTCAGAACACTGAAAAGACAATTAAACCAAAACATACCAACATTAAAATAAGTTAAATTAATTAAATAGCTTATTATATCAAACAAAAAGTCCTAAAGCTCATAGACAAACAGTAAAAGCCCATCACTCTCTGTAACAGACAGTCCAGCTCACCACTCACATATAAAGGGGTAAGCAGCAAGAGCATCACCCTCTATCAGAGAGTCTACCAGTTAAGAGCAGCATTATCAATGTGGTCCATTTTTTTCAGTTCTACACTCTACCTGGAGTCCCAAACAGCAGAAGCACAGTTCTGGAAAACAAACATACCACTAATCTACCTCTTCCTTTTCTTCTTTTTCTTCTTCCTCCTGCTATTCATTCATGAGGTCCTTCAGAGCAAAGAGACTCAGTTCTACTCAGAAAGCGTGTATGGGTGTGTGTGAGTGAATGTGTGCATGTATGCTGTAAGTAAAAAAAAGTCAGAGAAAGAAAGAAATCATAGATCAAATAAAAAAGTGAAATAGAACAGGAAAAGATAGGTAAGTATAAAACAGCTCCAGAAAAGGAACCCCGTGAGAATACTATTTCATCCATGTCAGCTCAGAATTTCTCCCTTTCTTTTACTTTTCCACTTTGTTTTGTATTGCCTCTTAGATTCACAAAACTCCAAATGACAATGCTATTAAATATCCCTAAAATTACACAATCTCTTCTCTTAATTATTCTAGAAGACTGAACCTCTTAAGAGGAGATTTACAGAGTAAATGTAACATAGTTGCCATTGAGTCAATTCCCTGTTTGGTACAAAAAGTTAATGAACTCAGCTGCTAACTAAAAGGTTGGAAGTTAGTAAAGTCTACCCTGGGGCACCACGAAAAAAAGGCGTGGTGTTCTACTTCTGAAAAATCAGTCATTGAAGCCCTATGGGGCATAATTCCACTCTGACACATGTGGGGTCACCATGAATCAAAACAGACTCAACAGCAATTGGTTTTGGTTTCTGTCTAACACTAATCAATTTTCACAGGAGCTTAATTAGAAAAATGGAGGGTAGCAAAGGAGAGAGTAAGAGGATGGATAAATGGGACAATGATGATGAGAAGGCTGAGGAAGAAAAGAGAATGAAATACAAAGTACAAAACAGAGAAGAGAAATAGAGAGAAGGTTTAAGGGAGAGAAGCGAGCATATCAGCAGCTGTGACTCTATCCCTTTATTTAGCCCACTCAAACATGGCTGCCAAAGAGCAAAAAGAATAGAACACTGTTTGACAGCTGGCACCTCTTCGAAAGTGTCTCACTGTTCAGTGGACTTAGTAGAAACCAGATAATGACTTCAGGAAGAAAGCATTGGTTGACCCAAGAAAAATCTAAGAATGGTTGTACAAAGTCTCCTAAATGTACTAACCCTGAAATCAGGATGTCTTCTTCACATACTCAGTCAGCACTCTGGACTACAGTGCTGTTTTGTTTTCTTGCTTCACTCCTTAAACTATATACATAACTGGGAATTTTAACACAGTGAAGAAGGAATAATAAAATTACCATAATGATCAGTCAGATTTTAAACACAACTTAAAAATATGCCCTAGCTAGATGTAAATATATTATTATTGTTGTTGCTATTGTTGTTAGTATTACTACTACTATAAGGAGCTCTGGTAGCATAGTGCCTAAGGCACTTGACTGCTAACCAGAACGCTGGCAGTTCAAACCCACCAGCCACTCCTTGGAAGGAAGGTTGGGCAATCCTACTTCTGTAGTGATACCATCTCGGAAACCCAAGGAGGGGTTGCTATGAGTCGGGGCCAACTCAATGGCACATAACAACAACAACACTACTATAATAAAGATGGAGCTAAACAAAGGACAAACAAAATACAAAACCATCCAAAATAGTTTAGACATAGCCAGTAATTTATCCATAACATATCACAACGACCAAAAAAAAAAAAAAATCAAGAAACTTTCTCTTATTTACTAAGTTCTCAAGTTTGGAGAACTTTTCCTCTTTGGCACTCAGGCACATATTAATCAAAGTACATAGGGAATGCTTTTGAAAAAACATTAAAACCTACACTATTCATCAGTAATCTCAGTTTTTCAATGTCTTTCATCTGTTGGAGTTCTTTCAAGGTCAGGGTTAGGTCACACCCAGCTTCATAAACCAATGTTTCCAGAGTAACCAAATTATCACACAGGACCAGCAAACCAGGAATACTCCGTTCCATTCCAAGTCGAATAAGCGACAGTGAACAGTCAACCTAAAAATGAAAAGTGACAATAAGTCTCTTAATATTATATCCTTCCCATATTGTCTCAAAGGAATCAATTCATAAGAAATGCTGAAGATAAAGAGGAAAACAACCATTTTAAATGTATAAAGCATGTTAGAGCTTACAAAGCAGTTTTATACACATTTGTCTACTTAATCCTCTCAATACTCCATTACCAGGAGGAAAAAAATAGCATAGCAAGTTAGTTATAAAACCAAATTAATCATATTTCCACTATAACACTGTGTTCCAAAAAGAATGTTTATTTCCAAGATTTTGCTTTTATGTTCCTGGTTTAGTACCTAAACCTCCACAGTGCCTACACAAAGAAGATATCCAAAAATTATTTCCTGAGTGATTGAATTTCTGTCTTAGTTCAAATGCTGAGCCTTCGTTTAGACCAACTCTACAGGTATTTAGTAGATGATCATTTGACCCCTAGCACTTGATCAGATTAATGACCTGACAAATCCTCTAACTGATGGCAAATCAACTATTATGGCCTAAATCCATAATCCCTCACACTAGAATGGCTAACTTTCTTATTCTTAGACCCACAGTTATTTACTGAGAGCTTACTATGGGCTAAACACCATTCTAGGTGTTAAGAACACAAAACTGAGTAAGATAAGGGTCTCCTCCTTCATTAATGCTTTAATCTACTAGGAAAAGACCGATAAATGAGTGAGTGAAGTAGAATAAGGTAAATGCTGTCCGTGATTAGGATTTCAAAAAAAGGGGAAGTTTTCCAAGAGAATGTTTCCCAGAGAAGGGAATACTTAAAAAGAGCTTTAAACAATCAATTGGTATTATTTAGGTGAACATCAAAGAATAAAAGAAGGAGACCAGCATGGAAATCAGAGATGCATAAAGTGTTATGAAAGTACAATTACTTCCATATAGCTGAAAGAGGACCATGAAGTGAAGCATGGCTAGAGTAGCAAGAAAGGGCTAGATCATAAACTATATTGTTTACGCTAAGGACTTTGCAGTTTACCCTGAAATGCAATCAGACATGCCATTTACACTTTAGAAAGGATACTCAGTAAGTACTTAATGAATGATAAATGGCAATATGAATGATAAATTGGAAATGAACTAGAATGAAAACAGGTAGACAAGTTAGGAGACCTGCAGCTACTAACAGAGGAATCCTGACAGAAATATACTGATTTACCTATTCACTCACAAATTTGTTCACTTATTTGCTCACACTGAGTAAATATTTGACCATTTCTATGCACTCAGAAAAAATTTTTAAAAAAGGAGCTAAACTAAGGTATTGAAGACATACGGGAAGCAAACTGTAACAAACAATGGAGGATACAGAATTTAAAAATTAACCCAGATCAGATGAGTAATGGGAATAAAAAGGAGTCTAAATGATACCTTGAGTTTCTGATCTAAGCAAGAAGATAGAACTTGATGTTCTTCATTAAAGAAATACAAAAAGAGTACATTTGACAAAGTGAAATATAATTCTTTATTGACTACGCTGATTCTGAACTGCCTATGAAACATCTTAATGCAGATGCCCAATAAATAAATGCCAAACAAAGCAAATAAAACTGTAACTAAAATAGGTAGATACAAGTAATGATTTAGATGAAGAAAAGGGCAATATACCAAATGTGAGTGATCAACACAGTGGCAATGAGGAAGATACAGACAGCAAAGACAAACCCTTTTGCACATACAGTAGTTGTCAGTGAAGGCAAACAATGATATACGGGCGGATAGATGGGTGGGCAGGCTGAATTAGTAGGTATATCTATGAAGGGGGGAAGAGCCCAAGACCATGAATAGGGTTGGCAGACAATGTTTCTACAAGTGCATTTGTATATTCTATAAGAATGCCCAGGTAGACATAGAACTGACAAGGTACAAGGTTGTAGTCACTTTTTGACTACAGCCAGCTACCCAGAGGGTGTGAGTAGTTGGACCTGTGGGCTCAGGACCATAGTCTCAGGGGACATCAAGCTCAACTGGCCTAGCATACTACACAAAAACACTGTTCCACATCTACTTTGGCAAGGAGCAACTGCGATATTAAAAGCTTGCAAGTGGCCATCTAGATGCAACAATTGGTCTCTACTCATTCAGAGCAAAGAAGAAGGAAGAAATCCAAAGTCACATGGAAACAATTAGTCCAAGTGACTGGTACATTATGTGATCCTCAGCCTATAAGACTATGAGACCAGAAGAACTAGATGGTGCCCGCCTACCAAGGTCAACCACTTGGAGGGGGGATCTCTATAGGAGATCCTGGATAGAGTGGGACAATAATGTGGAACAAAATTCATACTCATTTAAAAAAAAAAAAAAAAGGACCAGGTTTGCTAGTCTGATAGAGCCTGGTGGAACCCCTAAGACTATAGCCACTAGTTACCCTTTAGGTCTAGAACTGAACCCACTCCTGTGGCTTCTAGCCAAACAAAAGACAGGCATAAGAGCTGAAAATTTACAATAGGTAGATACACTCCTTGGAGCTAGCAATCATGGGAGAATAGAAGGGCTGTGTATATACAGGGAGACAGATCAAGGGGCAGGAGTACATGGGAGGGAAGGACATAGGAAAGAGGTAACTATGGGGGGAGAGCTGTTGCACTGTGATAAATTGTAGTCAATGTCATGAGACAACGTGTATGTGAGCTGCTGTAAGGAAAGTGAATTTGCTTTATAAACTTTCACCTAAATCACAATAAAAATTTTAAAAAAAGAAAAAAATTGTACCTAAAGAAAGTATCCTTGATTGAAAATGATATTTGGGAACTTTCAACACATAAATCATAAGGAAGATGGGGCAATCTACTTCCGTAGCAATACTGTCTCGGAAACCCAAGGAGCGGTCGCTATGAGTCGGGTCCGACTCGATGGCACATAACAACAACAACAACAACAACAAACAATATTATAAGAGGAGGGTATGATCAGGTCATAATGTGACAATAATAGCACCCTGTGGAATCATTGCACAATCTTCTTCCATAGATTACCACCTCAGAAATCCGAGGGGTTGCTATGAGTCGAATTGACTCAACAGCAGTGAGTTTGTTATTTTTTCTTAAGGGGAGAATCAAAATATTTAAGGAACAAGACAAAGAAGATGGGGACCAGGTAGAGAATGAATAGTTAAGAAAAGGGCAACAAAACCTTAAATGGTATCACAGAAGCCTAAATAGATTTTAGAAAAAAGGAAATAGTAAATAGGGCCAAAGGACAATGATGACAAATAACAAATAAAAGGAATTTGGCATTAAGAGATGAACTGGTACTCATATTAAGTATAGGTTCAGCAGAGTAGCAGCAGGAGTCCTACTCTTAGGAAAACGGGGAGTGAACAAAAATTGAGAAAGTGATTTCAAAGAACAGAGTGGCTATTTATAAGCTATGTTGTGCTGTTATGAAAATCAAGTAGCTAAAACAGAAGCAATAAGAGAGCATGGTTTTTAAATTATTACACATATTTTTGTATGTATAAAATACATACAAATTGAGCTGTTTTACATGTCAAAAAAGGAAAAAGTTAAGTGGTAAACATAGGAGGTGAAATACATAGGAGAGAGAAAACAGAGGACTAACAGAATAATCCTAAACAAACGGGAGTACGGCATTCAGGGTACAGGTAAAGTCCTTCAGACATAAGAACAGAAACTTCTTTCTCTGGGGAAATTTGGAAAGAGAAGTATACATGGAAGTACATTCTCAAATTCCAATGATATGCAAAGCAAAATCATTTTCAGAGAATTATGAGGGAATTGCAAGGAACAGGATGAAGATTTGACACAAAGGAAAAGGGAGAATGCAACATTGTAAAAAAAGAAAGGAAAAATAAATGCCAGGAATATCAAAGGACCATCAAAAGGCCTTCAAAGACCAAGGAACTAACAGGTAAAGATGAAGTGAACAAAGGAGAAACACATTTTCAATTGCAAAGAATGGTTCAAAGAAATACAAGGGAAAAAGCAAGGGTAGGAAGGGCATACGGCAGTAAACTAGGAAAAAATGAGTAGTCTGGTAAGATTTCAACAGATAATTTTTTTTTAACTTAATACAGTTTATGTCTGAAAGGATAAAAATTGCATCTCAGGTGAATTTAAAAAAAAAAACTGTATCAAAAACTTCCAGTAAGAGGGAGGCATAGGCAGACAAGATACACAGACCCTCTTCAACAAAGAAAAGAGAAACCAATTGACAGAGACACAGAAGATAACCCTGGAGCCCTGAGCTTTGAAACGAAGTATACAGAAGTGGATTAGGCACCAACTAGCAGAAAAACCCGAACAAAAACAGTGAGTACAGAGATGATGGAAGCAGTGGACTATCAGCTACTCTATGGGAACAACAACATGAATATTTCCAAGTGGTGTTGGGACCTGAGAACTGACCTAAAGATCAGACCTGGTCACCAAGCTCTGCAGGGATGACTGGGCTGGTGGCCTATGACTACAAACGGAAACAGCAAGGAAGGAGACAACCTGAGCTGTGAACTTTCCCGTCTAGAGGGTGCAGCCATTTTGATTGTTTATAGACAGTAGCCATTTTGGATATTTAAAGTGACTGAGGATACAGCCATTTTTAATGTTTGCAAGCGGCAGCCATTTTGGATATTTAAAGTGACCAAGGGCACAGCCATTTTGAATCCTTACAAGTGGTGGCCATTTTGGATTTTAAAGTGATAAGATTCTCATTCAGATTCCAGAGACCTAAGAATAAGCTCTGTTTCCCAAGGACATCAGGGACATAAAGGAGACTAACAACAGGAAAGGAGGCAGGTGGTAAGTGTATAAGTTCTGCCAACTAGCGAATAGAGGAGCAAAGCACAGTACCTGCTTACATAGATAACATACAAACAAAATGTAGAAAACGAAAATCGTGGGCAAGTCACTCCAACATACAATCACCAATTCAATATAAACACAAAAATGTCACAATGCCTCAGAGACAACAGGGCATCACAGTGCACACAGAGAAGCGAGATAAAGCTG